TACATGGTTAAGAGTGGCTTTCCACCGCGGTGTGCTAAACTTGAACAATGTTCTTCACACAGTATCCCTTCTCTACACTCCTAACATCTTTACTCCGACAGATTTAAAGACAACTCTGAGGATTTACTTTCTTACAGAGGCAACGTGAAAAACTGAAAAGTCTTTTCTCTTTTGTGTTTTTGTTTTATTGTTGGGTGGGAAGGGTGTTGTACTTGACAGTGGGAACCTTCAGTATCATGAATTAAGTCTCTTACAGGCTGCAAATGATTCCTCTGACCCCAGTGTGTGAGCCTGAACTGGGCAACCAGAAGATGTGGTGTTGCGGCTTTAGTACAGCAGACACAGCGTGGGAGCAGTGGAAATTCGTGGGAAACTTTTAGACCAAACTGTTCATATACTGCAGGCTTCAGCAGCCACTTTACTTGATTCTTCCAACTTCCTACATTTCTCGCATCCTCTCCCTTCCCCTCCACGTTCTCACCAAACATTCACATGTAAGGATCATAGGTGGGAGGATAGCTCTGGGAGGAAGGTCATCAAAAAGAGATGCAAGATGAGCACAGATGATCTTTTTTTTTTTAGATTTGGGTATCTGTTATGCATAATTACCAGGGGCCAGCCTAGTTGTTTAGCAGTTCTGGGGATTAGGAGATAGCTCAGAGACAGAGATAAAAAGAAAATTCATAGTTTGCTTTTTAGGAAAGGAAATTGGGTCTGGCATAACTGAAATCTCTAAATGAACTGTGATCAAAGCTAGTGTTAAACTCAGTTACACTTAGAGGGCTGGACTGCCCAGCTGTCATTCATGTATCCAGTTCCAAACAGAAGGAAAAACCTATTTAAAATCAGAAAGTGCAGTTACTCTTGGAGAGCAAGGCCTTTGCAGGTGATCTCAGTTTCTGGCTCTGATGGTTTTAAATCAGACCTCAGAAAACTTTTCTCATGTGCATGAGCTTGCAGATCTTGTGATAGGGGATAAGGGTAGGTTTTGTAAGGTGCTTTGGTTTGGGGACCTCAGGTGGTGTTGGTCAGAGACTGGTTGCTCAATAAAATGTAAAAAGAGGAGAAAAGTAATAGTAGCACACCAAATCTAGGTGTGGTTAACATCCCATCAGCCTGACAACTCTTGGTACTAAGGCAAGAGAGTTAGTAAACTGCAAGACTAGACATATTTTTTATGGGTCCTTTCAGGACTACTAACGGATACCATAAGCGTGCGTCTGCTACACCACATTCTAAATGCTAAACAATTCTGTAAATCTGACGCTCCCTGCCAGACTTGATGACACAGCTATTAATATACGGTATCCCCCAGAAACAAATATGAAAGATGCAGAACAAGATTTACGGGCATGTTAATTACAGCATTATTTATAACAGTAAAAAATGAGAAGTTAAATGCCTAACACATAGGTCTGTGGTTCAATTATTGCGTATCTACATTACGCAGTCATTAAGAATCATGTCTTTGAGGAACATTTGGTGACAAGAAAAATACTTACGATATAATGAGAAATCAAAAAGGTACAAAACTGAAAACAATATGATAATATTAATTTATGGGTTTTTCCCTCTGGTCATATATATGCACATGACTGGAAAGGAGGAAAATAAAACATTAACGGTGGTTATCTCTGAGTAATGAGATACTAAGTGTTTTTTTAACCTCTGTATTTTTTTTCTGTAATTTTCCAGTTCCTTACGAACTACTTCTTCTACAATAAAATGTATTGTTTTTAAAAAGCACTTGTCAACTCTCACAAGAATATCCAGCTAAGCCAGCACTGGTCCTATATAATTGTTATTAATAAATAATATATAAAATTTCTGCCCATGTGAATAATTATAGTGAAAAAAAAATCTGTATGTCTTTGTTAGTAACCTCTAGGCCAGAGGCTTTAAACCTCATGATCTGCATTAAAATTCATCCTGTCAAAATCCCGCCTTCCACATTAAATACTATTTATGTTGTTAAGTAAAGAGAGGGAACTGGTATGTTGAGTACGTAGTCTGAGCCAAGTGTTTATGCACATGGTTTCCCTGAGCACAATTATGGATGGGGAAGGTAAAGTTCAAAAAGGTTGAATAACTTGCCCTGCTCACATGGCTATTTGGGGGTCAAAATGGACACAAAACCTCTCAGTCTGGTTTGAAAGCCTTGATTTCTTCTACCACCGCAGAGCTGATAGAAACTTTAGATGAGACACAGACTTCATTGTAGACATTTAAAAATACCTCCACAAGATATTGCACAGTGCTTCTCATATGTGGCCAAAAAAACTAATTTTTGCTTCTTTTCATTCACATCACCCCAGTGAAGGTAGTAGGGAAACTGCCCAAAGGAGACAACACTACAGACAAAACAGAGAAAGACAAGTGAAGAGACCACCTACTGGGAAACCTCTGAACGAACAGGCAGTGATTATGATGATTACCCTCACCTTCGGGCCGGTGAGGCAGTGGCCACCAGTGGTGACCAGCAAGTGTGGCTGGGCTCGATCTTCCACAAATATCTCACTCACCTCTGGTTACAGTGCTGCTCCTCCTTCCTACTTGGCCTGAACCCCATCTCCCAATGGTCATTTCTTCTGCTGATTACAAAGCCCACATCCTGCATTCCAGAGAGGAGTTTTTCAAAGCTAAAAACTTTCCTTTAGGAAGGACAAAAGACCTCAAAGATGATCTTCCACTTTTTTCATTTAATAATGAATGGCTTTTGATATTTCTCAAAATGAGAGCCTAGTGACTAGATATTGTGGTAGGCTTATCTTCACAAGTATCGTCAATTTAACCAACAGATGAGCTCATAATCATAACTACATCCTGCTCAGAACCTCAGTTACAAAGTAATTCCATGTCCATTCTCTCATTTGCTTCTCACCATCAGTCTTATGGAAAGAAAGGCAGGTAACTCCATCCCCATTTACAGACCAGGAAACTGAGGCATACTGCCATTTTGGCTGGCTTGCTGGATTTGACAGAAGGCACAGAGGGACTGATTGAGGGGAGAAAATGTGAAGGTTCTGGTTGAGAATGTGGCAGCAGTGTGTCATTGGAGGACAGGACCCTGGAAAAAAGCTCTAGGGTAAGGATGGGGCTTATGAAATATTCGAGTGGGAAGAGAAACTACTTAGGTAGAAATATTGCCTGTGGAGAGCTCTGTATGAATGGCTTCCTCCTCTCCTTTTCTACTTTCTCAGTCCTCTCCATTCTTCAGAGCCAACCCAAATCTCACAGCTCTGGGAAGCCATTCTTTTTTTTTTTAAGATTTTATTTATTTATTTGATGCACACACAGAGAGAAAGAAAGAGAGCGAGCGCACAAGCAGGGGGGAGGGGCAGAAGGAGATGGAGAAGCAGACTCCCAGCTGAGCAGGGAGCCCGACGTCAGGCTCAATCTTAGGACCTTGGGATCATGACCTGAGCTGAAGGCAGACGTTTAACTGACTGAGCCACCCAGGCGCCCCCCGGAAAGCCATTCTTAATTATCCACCAGGAAGAAACCATAGTAATACCATCTTAAGGTTTTCACGTGCCTTAGCTCATTACAACATCGTGACACATTTCTGAGGGTGGCTTTGCCATCTGTTTTACAAACAGGAAAATGAAGCTCAGAAGGGCTCACCTGTCCCCTGCTGACACGGTTAATAAGCCGCAAAGTCCAGATTTCAAACTACATCACGTCACAGCTGCCTCACCTTCCTGTACACTTATCACATCTTGTATATCGCCCGAGTGTCCCCTCATTCCTCGACTCAGTTATAAGTTCTTTTTTTTTTTTTTAATTTATTTGACAGAGAGAGACACAGAGAGAGAGAGCACAAGTAGGGGAAGTGGGAGAGGGAGAAGCAGGCCTCCCTCAGAGCAGGGAGCCCGATGCGGGGCTCGATCCCAGGACCCTGGGATCATGACCTGAGCCGAAGGCAGACGGTTAACGACTGAGCCACCCAGGCACCCCTCAGTTATATGTTCTTTGAAGGCAGACAGCAAGTCTTATGTTTCTTTGTAACCACCCCCACTGCCAGCATTTAGCAGAGGTCCATGTACACAGTAGGCTCTCAATAAACGTCAGACGTTAAGTATCTGTTTGGTAGGAACAGTAGTTATTAAGAGGGATTTTTTGGTATTTTGTATGTCAGGCTTTCTGCGGTATATAATTAAAACAAGAGTGAACATGAAGTGTATAATTTCTCCTAGCTCTAGCTTAATCAGGCATTCATTACCATGTCTGATTCTGTGTTATATGAAAAGAACTGCTTAGTAAGCATTTTCTGTGATGAGGATAACCAAACACATACAGATTATCAGAGAGATTTTCAAAAAGACAAAAGCAAAACCATCAAACACAGGGAGAGACAATGATCTGCAATGGCATAATATTTCACCTGGGACTAAGGACCTTCCAAGGCAAAGAGAGTACCTGACTAAGGTTGGGCAACTGGATACCAAGGAACACTGAGATAGGAAGTCGGGGTGCTAACTGGGATCCTGTGTCAAGAAGATGGATGCACCACGCTACTGTTCCGGGTCAGAAACAACAGAGGCAATGCTTTCAAGGGCTTTTCTGAGAGAAGGGGTTTGCTCTGAAACCTCTCCAGCATAACAATCATTTCATTACCATCTTCAGTGACAAGAAAACTTAATAAATATACATGCAATATACAACTTATTACCTTGTTTGGTCCCATTCCATTTATCCTCCCAACCCATCATTAGTGTATAGCTTTGAAAACATAAAGGGCTCAAAGAAATTCGCTGAGATGAGAATTTTAACAATATAGATTGGCTCAAGTACCTTGAAATTGACTTTTGGTAATCTCAGCTAATAATAGCAGTGCCAGTCTACCATATTTTATTGCCAAACCATTCATAGTAATCTTAATAAGCCACTGACAGGCAGGGCTTCTGACTTCTTTGGTGTTATAAATAAAGTGCCACATACCTGTGGGCATTCAACCAACATCAAGAAACGAGAGCAAATACCAGGTTAGCGGTACTTACATTTGTGTCCTCATGGCTGTGGCCATTGGTCTCGACCATTTCCTTGGTACCTTTTAACTGCAAAAGAAAAAACAAAAACAAATCAAAAATCCCAAATGAATAAGCAAGCATATCCGTTAAGTATGTATCATCCTGTTAACTCTGATTTATCTTGAGGTCACACTTTATAAAACCTTTCGAGGAAAAAAAAAACAGATGGAGCACATAATTCTAACGAGTCTTATTGAAACCAGTTTGAGACCAATATTTTATAAAACTTGATGGCTGGCAAAAAATAAATGGGTCTTGGTCATTATTTTTTAAATAATAAGATTAGAAAGCAGTTCCATAGGCATAAAATGTATAAAATTGGTTCTTAAGAATAATAAATGATTTCATTTCCTAGTTGTATTGCTGTTAATTTCAACCCTGCAGTGTTTGCAAGTTGCCACCAGCTAAATGATGTTATACAAACGATTACTCGTGAATGATGTATTTTCGGTTGTTCTAACATGCCGCAGTGCTACTCGACATGTCTTCCTTGAGAACATATTTGAATGACTGGCGTTGTTTCTGGAGGCCTAAAAAAAAAAGATGATTTTCTTCTTTTTGTAAAGGAAGAATTGGGAAGACATTTCCTTGGTCACTGAGGCATCAGAAGAAAAGCTATTTCTCATGAGATTTTTAACAATGAACATTTGAAAACACTACTTTCTTTACTCTCTCTCAGAAGGCTTAGGAGAGATCACTTATCAGGAGATTTCTGGAAACCTTTAATTGACATTTTATCCTCGCCTGGCTCAAAGCAGACATTTGGAAGCAGAGAGCAAGGGCAAAGGGTGAGCAGACCTTGCAGCGGCTCACCAGTATTTCTTCCTGGCTTATTCGTGCTCAGGAAGCAGCATCTTTGTCATCATCTTTTTTTATGCCGAAAATAAAGTATTCAGGGCAGGAAATAAATGCTTAAAGTTGGAAAGAAAAGAAGAAAATAAATGCAGCTATACTGACAATGTGTCTGATCCAAAATATTGGTTCTTCCTGGTTATTTGTACATACTAAAATGAAAGCTGCTTTTTTTTTTTTTTTTAAGACAATGTCCAGTCCTCAGCAAGAAAGCCACACGCTCTCCATGCCAAGAAAGGGGCTTTGCCAAAGGGGGGGTAACACGAAGAAACTGAGGCTGGGGCAGCTGACTATGGACCAGAGGCTCTTTGGCTCATTTCCATATGGCTCCCACTTGAGAAACAAGAATTCTGCCCACTGGTTTTCAGGGCTCCCTCACTGATGTTTCTGCACACAACAACTACAATGTGTTGCAGACATGAAAAGTGAACGAGCCCCACAGTGATAGCAAGACCAGCCATTATCAGAGGGCACAGAAGGACCTAAAACCCTGTGTTCCTAGCGGAAGATTTCCGTCTTGCAGGCGTTCCTCACATTTCTCCTCACCAACCCTCTCTGCTCTGCTTCCTTGACACAGCGGGGAAGGCTTTGCTATCTTGCTGCGGAAGTAAAGATCATGTCGTGAAAGCCGGTTCCACCTGTACGAGTTTAACGACACAGACAAGCTCACTGCTCTGCTCCCTAGTAAACAGATTCCATCCTGCTACTCCATGTCATCCTGTCTGAACGCTCCCGTGGGCTCTCCTCGTACTCCCTGCCCACCGGTCCTGTTCCCTCCCCTGCTCTCTTCCGCCAGAGCCACCACAAGCCACCGCTCCCTCCCGCACCTGCAGGCTGGCCGCTGCTTTGCCCTCACTGGCCTCTGCCCGTCCTCTCCTCCAGCCGCTCCTCTCCTCCAGATGGAGCGGAGGAGTGTCCTGGCTGATGATACCTGGGCTTGTGAAGAAGCCCCAGATGTCGGAGGCTGACACCTTTGGAAAAGAGGTGAAGGGCAGGAGCCAGTGGGGCCTGAAGTGACCGAGAGAAGCCGCATCCTAGCAAACAAGGAAGGCTGGGAACCTTCTGGAGAGTCTAGGGAATAAGAGTCTCCCCTGATGGGGATGGGGCAGGGCCTAATGATGGTAAGTGTCTGCCCTCATGACCTATTCTTTCTTTTAGGATTCTCATCAAATGGCATCACTCTGAATAGCAAAGTACCGGGTCTTCAGAAAAAGGTCTATCTTTTCCTCTGCGTGTGTGTGCGTGTTTGCGTGCGTGTTTGCGTGTGTGCGTGCGTGTGTGTGAATGATGGCAAGGCTCTAGGCGCATGCAGTCATACGTTCCAAGAGTGCTGCTACTTGTTTAGGCCCTGTCTATGCAGGCACCGAAAAAGTGTTTACACATGTAGTTACCCTACATAAGTCCAAAGAAAGCCTCACGGGGCAATGCTCACAGAGGTATAAAGGTGCGTTTTCAAGTGTGTGTCTGTGTGCGGGTGGCTGCCTGCAAGGAGATGGGAGGAATGTGTCCGCTGTGTGCTCCCAACTGCAAGGATGACAGGGGCACCCGGCTAGGGGCTCCTGGGAAAACAGCCTGGGGGCGGCAATAGCACCCAAATGCATATGCTTGCAGTGTGTCACTGGCCTTCTCAGATGGATGGACGTACTTTTGATGTCTTTGCTTGCAAAGAGCTATCCCATTCATTTTTTTTTAAATTTTTTATTGTTATGTTAGTCACCATACATTACATCATTAGTTTTTGATGTGGTGTTCCATGATTCATTGTTTGTGCATAACACCCAGTGCTCCGTGCAGAACGTGCCCTCTTTAATACCCATCACCGGGCTCACCCATCCCCCCACCCCCTCCCCTCTAAAACCCTCTGTTTGTTTTTCAGAGTCCATTGTCTCTGAAAGGGGGGAAATCGGAGGGGGAGAGCTATCCCATTTAAATGAGCAGAGCAGATCTAAAAACGATTCCTTCCCAGTCGTATTTTCTAGCTCTTTAATGATTTTAGTTGTTCTGGATCTTCTTCACGTTCCCCATTTTTTTTAAGTAATGGAGATGGAGGGCGCTGTTGCACTACAGCTCGTCTGTGCACTTCCTGCTCTCTAAAAATGCGGGCCCTAACAAGAAGACTCTGGTGCTTTCTGCAAACCTCAGAATCTCTTTTTGTGTTGGGGGCTTAGACCTCAAATCAAAATACAGGTATAGCTCAGAGGTATTGCGGGTTGGGTTCCAGACTGCAATAAGGCGAGTCAACTGAACTTCTGGGTTTTCCAGTGAATATAAAAGCTAAGTTTTTACTATCCTGTAGTGTGCAATAGCATCATGTTTAAAAAGACAATGTACAGAAAAGATCTGAGTCATCTGGAGAAAGGAGAAATCCACCCCTCCCCATCCCAGCAAATCGAGGAGAGGGGGGAATGGCGGGGGGCGGGCGGGAAGGAGGGAGAGCACAGAACAGCAAAGCTCAGAGCTCTGGCTGATCAGGAGCAAATTTGGACCAAATCAGCGCTACTCTTCTGGAAGTCTTTCAGTCATGCAGAGGAGGAAAGCCCAGCGAGTTGGGGGCTCCTAGCTAGCCGGCCACTGTGAATTCAGTCAGTAGTTTTCGTCCAATCGAACATCACCCAAAATCACACAGATTCAGCCTCAGTCTACATTACTCAATCTGTCCTAATCACATAATCACCAGTTTCATAAAGCATTTTCCTCCAAAGCTTATGAAGTATCTCCACTTTTCACTCACAAGTCACTTACTACTTCCAGGGGAAAGGAACGAAAACTCTATTTTCCTGCTCCCCAGCCACAAAAATCTAAAACCACTTGTAAAGTGACTGAGTCACAGCTGGCTATATTCTCCCGGGGACATATTTTCAGAAATATCACTTTTGAAGTTTTTTATATGGTACAAATAACCTTCTCATAAGCCACTGTGGGTGAAAAAAAATGTAAAACAAGCTAAATTTGATTACCCCAAAAGGCTGGGGTTACTCTGTGTGATTTTTTTTCCCTCCTCCCAATTACCATTCATTCCATCGTTGGCAGCATGGGAAGGCCAGAAATAGGAAAGCATTTCAAGAACTCTCCCGTGTAGACACCGGGCTCAGATTTCACTCAGATTTCACCGTGCTGCTGAGCAATCCATCTTTCGCTGTTGTAAGACAATACTTCCAAATCCACTTATCAGTGTCAGGCCACACTTCAGTATCAAAGAAAGCCGGGATGAAATGGTCAGATTTACAAACTTCATAGAAAAGGTCTGTTGCTCACTGTGGTTATTATATAAGTGCCTGATGCACGGGGATGATTTTTCTTTTTCTTTTTTTAACGTCCCTATGAATCAGTCATTCCTATTCATTTGTCTGCCTGAGTGCTGCAGGTGATGCTAAACGCATGTTCCTCGCTGTTACACTTAAGGGGAAACTAGCTGCTTGCTTTGACATACATCCGCATCTCTGATACTTTAAAACTTTATCAAAATTCATTTGTCTTTTGGAGTAAACTTTCACACGTTGCTGGCGGGCTCGGGTGGTCCCCACTGGGGCAGGAGGGAGAAAGCTTATGAATACCACGTAGTAATGCTGCCAGAAAGGTGTGATGGGGCCCAGGTGGACCAGACAGCAGACGGACTGCAGAAACAGCTGGGTGCCTGTCGGGCAGCAGAGGTGCATGGGCCCGGGATGGAAATGGTGTCCGAATTGGAGCTGCTGCCTCAGCTTACCTGTTCCTGGAGGACTTTAAGTAATGCCTGCGTATGTGACTGTTCTTCCTTTGCTTGTTCCAGTTCTGACTTTTTGTTGTTTAACTCCTCCTGGATGGTCAGCAATTGCTGTCAACGTAAGAACATTTGAGATAAGTAGGATGGAAGGCTAGGTGACTGTAACATTCCAATGTGTGAGAAGATTTTCGCAAGTCTTAATAGCTTAATCCACACTTCAGTTAACTTTTGTGCCCCCACCCCCATCACTTAGTGTAACAATATTGCAGGGTTTTTTTTTTTAATATTTTATTTATTTGCTTGAGAGAGAGGGGGAGAGAGAACAGAGGGAGAGGGAGAAGCAGGCTCCCCACTGAGCAAGGAGCCCGATGCAGGACTCGATCCCAGGACTCCGGGATCATGACCTGGGCTGAAGGCAGACGCTTAACTGACTGAGCCACCCAGGCACCCCAGTATCACAGGTTCTGACATGTTATAAGGGTGTTGGGACCCTGCTGCACAATAAAACAAGTTTGTGCTAAGGATCTGTGAAGCCACCCTCAAAATCCTTGGAATAAAAGCGTATTTGTAAAAATATGTGGAATAGTGTTGATAGACAACAGGTTTTGATAGATGAAGAAATTAAATAATACAAAAAACTGGATGTGATTCGTCAGCTTGCCCAAAGTCACTTCATTTGACGTCAGACAGGAGGGCTGGCCTTCCAGCAGTAGCCCTGTAGAGCTACTTCACTAAGTGGCTGGGACTGCAAAAGATCCTTTTCCTTTCTCTGTTGTGACGGTGATGTTTTATTAAATCAGCAGGACTGAAGTCCAAACTGCAATCAATGTATCAGCCAAGAAAACTGCTGATATAAGCTGTCAAAACTCTAAGCTATGGCCTACACTGCTATTTTTAAGCAGGGCCACTGAAGGGATTTTTGTAAGCCTTGCCTTGAGCTTCCCTGGCCCTATCAACTCTAACTCATGTTGGGGCTTATCCTTGTCTGCTGGAAGCACTGTGCTGCCTGGCACGAGTTCTCTGCATCGGGGTTATATGTGAATATACACATAGGCTGGGCCACGCATTCGAGAGGCTTCGCAACGGGCCGCAGAAACGGCTCTATCGACTCAGAAGATTCTTAACAACAAAGGGCTAGTTTGAGCAGACCGAAGAGCATCTCTTCCGCTGCCGTATGTAACTACTGCTGCGCAAATGACAGAAAGTGTTTGCGCATTCCTACCACGGAGGTAGCGGTCTCCAGCATCAAGCCTGCTTCTCTGGGGCCCGCCGCACAGCGGCCTGGCCGTTCTTCATACCAAGGCCGGAGTAAACCCTGGTGCTGGACTGCTGATGCTTAAACCCACCAACTGGAAGGATTAAGTTAAGTCTTTAAAACCTCGTTTTGGGGGATGTTGGGGAGTAGGCAGCACTCAGAAAAACACACTGTGCTTTCCCTTGGGCTCGCTTCTTCTGTTCCCTCCTTTGGCACTGGATATACATTTAGGAACCTACTTTGGTCCCCTCCCCTGCACCCAGCATAAACAGTGATTTCCTCGCCATTTCCTAAAAACTCTATGCCTCCGGTTTCACCACCTGCGCACGTGAGACTCCCATGTGAGGTGATACACACACCCCGCACCAGCTCCCTTAGCACTGTATGTGATTTAATTGTGCATCAATTGATTAAAGTACAGAAACCAGGGAGCCCATATTGTCCTTTGGCACCGTGACAAGTACCTAAAATGACTGCTCCCAAAGTGTGGGGAGGGACTCTGCTCCTTTGCTCTCATTCATGACTGGCCCCCGGAACCACTCCCCGGGAGAGGGGGGGGCTGGTGCTTGGACTTCGATGACGCCCAGGGAATTTTTACGTATCAGACAAGTTTCAAATCCAGTCCTTAAGCCTCCTTTAAACAGGAGCCAAACAAAGGGCAGGAAATCGTCTTCAAAGGTAGGTCACTTATGTCTGCTCACTGCAGCACTCGGGGCCGCAGGATTCAGCTACAGCTAGCATCCAGCAGAAGGGGGTTGGCTCGGTCAGTGTCGGCCATCTGTACGGCGGGACTCCATGCAGCCGGGGAAAACCACAAACATCTCTGCACATGGAGGAAGCACACAGTACACTGTGCCCCCACGGAAACGGCAGGTTACAAAAAAGGTCTCGCTGAATTTTGCAACACGTTCATAGACAAGGATCTGGATACTTGGTATGGGTGAGTGGGTTTAAGGATCTTTAGGTCAGTTTTGCTGGTAATTTTCTGGTATGTCTGTAAGGAGCATATGCTGCTTGAGTAATGTTATTGCCGGCACTGAATAAATAAGAGGGGAAGTGAGAATTCTATTGGAATCTGCTATTTCATCCACACATTTATAACACCGCTTTATTCTACTGAAACACACACACACACACACACACACACACACACACTCCTTCCCTGGAACTCATTTCTCACTGAGGCTTCTGTCCTATTCCATTCTTCCTGGGAATCACACTTTTTTTTTTAATTGTACTTATTTTACTTTTTATTTTTTAAAAATTTTTCTTATTTAAGTATAGTTGACACAGGATGGTATATTAGTTTCAGGTGCACAACATAGTGATGTGACAATTATATGCCTTGCTCCGTGCTCAGCACAGTTAAGTGCGGTCACCATCTGTCATGATACGGTGTTATGATATTACTGACTATATTCCCTATGCTGTGCTTTTCATCTCTGTGGAATCACACTTTTTAAAATAAAATGTCTTGGGCGCCTGGGTGGCTCAGTTGGTTCAGCGACTGCCTTCGGCTCAGGTCATGATCCTGGAGTCCCGGGATCGAGTCCCGCATCGGGCTCCCTGCTCGGCAGGGAGTCTGCTTCTCCCTCTGACCCTCCCCCCTCTCATGCTCTCTCTCTCTCATTCTCTCTCTCAAATAAATAAATAAAATCTTTAAAAAAAATAAATAAATAAAATAAAATAAAATGTCTTCTCTGTCATCCCCACTTCCTTCTCCTACGTAGGCAACTACTTCCAATGGTTTCTATCTTTTTTGAGTGTGTTTTTCTAAAATACATATTGTTTTCTGAGGATGCCTTTTTAGTGATTTTGTCATATTTCTTGTTATTTATATTTTTACTAAGCACTATTTTTTAAAGACCCATCCATGTGAATATGTACACATCTAACCTGTTGCTTCCGAGGGCTGCATAATATCCTACGGAGTACGTCCACCCAATTATACCTGATCCACTCTCCCAGAGAAAGCCACTCAGATGACCTGTAGTTCTCACCCTATCCAAGGTTGCAGTGGAACATGCTAGTGCACGTTACCTTATGGACCCGCAGGGGGGCTTCCCTGGGATCCATACCCAGCGGTGAAACCGCTGCTCTGGAGGGTGTGCCTAAGATGTCAAGTTGCCCAACCTGCCCACCCACCGGGGTGTACAAGAGTCCCTGTGCCCCACAGCCGCACTAACCCTTAGCGTTACCCACCCAGCTTTCTAATATTTGTCAGAGTTCTCATATTTGTCTAATAATATAGAGATTCTTCATTAAACCTTCTTTTTGTACTTCTCTAACTCCTTGTGATTTTTAAATATCGCATCATATGCTTGCTAGCTGCTGAGGTTTATTTACACTTCTTAAAAGACTATTCAAGGGTAGTGGTTCTTAAATATGAGAATCTTTTTTGAAGATTTTATTTATTTATTTTAGAAAGAGAGAGAGAGCAAGCAGGGGGAGGGACAGAGAATCTTAAGCAGACTCGCCGCTGAGCCCCACACAGGATTCGATCTCACGACTCTGAGATCATGACCTGAGCGGAAACCAAGAGTCAGATGTTTAACCTGCTGAGCCACCCATTCCCCGCAAATATGGGGAACTTTTCAAAACAATACTGATTCCTGGGCCCTCGAGAAGACCAATTAACTCAGAACATCTAGGCAATAATACCTTGAAAAATAGCAACAACTACCTTAATAGATAATTCTAATGTGCAACTGGGATGGAAACCACTGCTTCCATGAATGCTCATTTAAACCTCATTCTACCCCAGCATGACTTCCACCCAGAGTGCCCTACTCACACTGTCCTCACTCACTGATGCTTTTCTCCTGGCTGGCCAGCCTGCCAGGTTCTTTTCTTCCTGCTCCATGCCTTCTCCAGGGGATCTGTTCACACCCATGTCTTCAAGGGCACATCCCACGTGCTTATGCTTTACAAGTGTGACTTTACAGCCTCTGCCTCGTTCCTGCTACCCGCTAGGCCCTTAACTTTCAGTGTTTCAAGCTCTGCCTACGATCATACCTCCCTTCCTGTACCTGAGTCTGCTCCCCCAGAATCCAGAGTTAAAAGCTTGAAGTCCACCCCTTTGTAACCTCCCTGCCCATTCCTCTGCCTTTTCTCCCTCCCATCCTCACCGTCATAGTTAAGGCAACCCTTTCCTCCCCTCTGGATCTGCTTGTTCCCCCAGTCATTCACCCTACACTCCTGAGAGAACCGACCATCGGAAAATTCAAGTGCTCCCGTACTTAAAAAATATTACTGGTTCAGCATTTTTCACAGAACTAGAACAATGATACTAAAATTTGTATGGAACTACAAAAGGCCCCCAAGAGCCACAGCTCTCTTGAGAAAGAAGAACAAAGCTGGAGGTATCACAACCCCAGATTTCAAGACCCACTACAAAGCCATCGTAATCAAAACAGCATGGTACCAAAAATAGACACACAGATCAATGGAACAGAACAGAGAGCCCAGAAATAAACCCATGCATAAATGGTCAATTAATCTACAACAAAGGAGGCAAGACTATACACTGGGGAAAAGACAGTGTCTTCAGTAAATGGTGTTGGGAAAACTGGACAGCTATATGCAAAAGAATGAAACTGTATCACTTTCTTCGACCATTCACAAAAATAAATTCAAAGTGAATTAAAGACCTAAATGTGAGACCTGAAACCATAAAACTCCTAGAAGAAAAGGTAGGCAGGAATTTCTCTGACATCGGCCATAGCAACATTTTCCTAGATTTGTCTCCTCAGTCAAGAGAAACAAAAGCAAAAATAATCTATTGGGACTGTACCAACATAGAAAGCTTCTACACAGTGAAGAAAACCATCAACAAAACAAAAAGGCAACCTACTAG